AGCGTCTTGCAGAAGATAAGTAAAATAAAGGTTTTTTGTTTTTTTTTCATATGCAGGTGTTGTCACATTGGATGAAAGTCACAAGCAGACCATCCAACTTGATGTGATGCCTCTAATCAGCGGGTATCTACCGGTTCCCCATGTAAGATTGTCCAGATACATCCCTGCCGACCAGAAGCCTCTCGGAAAAGGTAAGACAGAGTGAGAGAGGGCATAGCTGCATCACCCCCCTGTCGGTAAGCAAACAACAAACAGGAAATCCCGATGATTTCACCAATATCTGTCCAATTTTCGGCGTGAAATCTTGTCTCTGTCACACAAACATTTATTTTCTGAACTTGAAAAATGTCGATATGTTTACCAAAGAGGTAAAACCAGGAGTCGCTGTCGGACAGGACGTCAGCAGACAACATTTAGTTTAAAAAATTTATATTTGTGTGACAGAGACAGTAATAAGAAAGACGGATATTGGTAATATCATGAGGATTTACTCTTTGCTGTCTGCCTTCCTACAGCTCTCCCTTACGCTAATTCGATCCGTGACTAACAACACTGTCGGACTGTCGTATGCCTGCTCTAGGGAACCCTGTATGTATGTAAATCATATAGAGTTATTGTTTTAATTGCTGAGCTTAACTTGAACTTGAAATTAAACTTTAACTTTAAATGCTCAGCTCTGTCAGGAAGCGCAAGGGAAGACCCCCCGGAGGAGAGCGTGAAGTGAGGCGCCTGGCGTGAGACGTGGGATGTGAGGTGGACAGGCATGCCAACCAAAATCGCGAAAACATTTTAATTTTAGCGCGCCGCAGGCCAAGGTAGACGCACATTTAGCTCAGCTTCACACGGTTTTAACGTGCGTCTACCTTGTTAATTTGATATTTTGAGGGTGAGGTGGGGTGGGGGTACTTTTACAATGACAATGTCTCTTAATGAAATACCTTTAGATAATATAGGATTTTTAGCAATGTTACTCTGCCTATAAAAATGATGAGAATACATTTATCATCATGTTTCCAGCCGCCTCGCTGCACCCGCGCCGCGAGCCCTTCAGCCCCGGGCAGGTCTTCAACAACAGCAAAGCCCTCCAGGTGCACGTGCTCCCATCTGCGCCGCCCGGAGAGTCCGGGGGCCCCTGATCGCTGCTCGCGCCCCAACCTGCGTCCGAGTCTGAGCAGGAGTACGACGGCTACTCCGACATCGACTCTGAGTTTGACGACTCTGACGACCAGGAAGAGGGCGCTTATTTCGAAAGCGGCGATTCCAACGGGGATGAGCCGCACAACCGATCAACAATGATAAGCTCTTTTTTCAGCAAAATCCGATCTTTCAAGTCATTTAAGTAATGATTGTGATAGTTTTTGTTATGTGCCTTTGAATTGAGACATTCTTTCGCTACAGTCTGACTATGCTGTCTCAGCCTCTGTGATTACTGTCTCCATGTTTACATTTCAATCATAAATATGTTTTGCGTCCTCTAAGTGTGATGGGCTGCTAGTCCAAATGTGTTTAACTCATTATTCCTGGTGAATATATTTTTGTGCCATTGTGTCTAAAATAGATTTTTAAAGTAAATGTTAAGAGTAGAGTGAAAATAGAACAAATTTATATATGTAAAAATATGAATTTTTATGTGTGAAAATTTATTAAATCATTTATGTTAATGTTGATTGTCATCTGATTTATTAATGAGCTATTCTAGGAATGCATCATTGAGGACTGCCAAAAATGACTTGCTTTTGTAAATTGTAAATAAAATGGCCCGTACGCAGAAGTTAATAGCTTCAAAAAGAAAGAAAAATAGATGTGAAAGTTGTATTTTTACTTGTTTGTTACCTTCAGCCATAATATACATAAAACTAAATTGCAGTTTTCTCCCTTGTGTCTGCTTGGGGAAGTTCTGTTTGCCTTCTCCTTTGTTAAGTTTGAGTGACATTGAACTGAATGCTTTTGACATAATTTATTTTAAACTACAGATTTACAGTAATGCTTAAAGTTTTACATGCAACGAAATGCATATGTAGTTTAGTTTAGCACCTCTCCATTTCTCTCTCTTTTTTCAGATTAAGATTGTTACAAACTTCTTCCATAAATTGCTGAGTATAATCAACATTCAGAGTATAGGTGACAAAGTTACACCCCATCCATTATAAACACAAAAGAAGTTGATACCACTTATTAAAACAGATCTACATGGGTTACTGAGGCATTTTATGAAACTTAAAATTTCAATGTGTGATGAGTCACAAAGATTACATCTTCTTTTTGAAATTCAGTCTAGTCAGTCAAATTAAGATGTTACACTGATTGCACAGTATACTACATCAGTTGATCCACATGTTTCAGAAATCACAATAATATATGTCAACTGAGAAACCGCAATACAAGTGACTGAGCAATAGGAGAGCTGTTCTGAACAAGATTGGCAAATACCATGGGTGGATTAGTAGAGATAAAGCAGAGGCCCACTCGCATTGCTAACTTGTTTTTATGGAAAGACTTAGTCCTTTCAAAGTACCACCACAATAAACATCCCCCGAGGTGAGGTGACGCGTTAAGGCGTTTTGGCACAAAGCTTACCGGTTGCCGGATAATCCCTGCCCTGCTTACTGGAGCGCTCAGGACGAGTCCAACGAGTTGCCGGCTACACACAGCTGCTTGGCGGGTTGGCCTACCCAGCGTCTTGCAGAAGATAAGTAAAATAAAGGTTTCGTAGCACCTGTACAACACCAATGAGACAGCTGGCGCCATTAACAATGCTACTTAATACTGACAATTTGCAATTATTTACAGCAATTTATTCCACATATACCTTTCTCTTCATGGCAGTTATACAATGTATTGCAGTAGTACTCGCCTCTATGTACTGATATGAATATCCAAAAGACACAAGTTAAGGAACTTAAGAAGGCAATAATACATTATAGACATAATGATAAATACCAAACACACAAAACCATTTGCAAAGTCTCAAATTTTACCCCCTTACTTCAGGCAGTCCACGATTGAGATCTCTTTCAGTCTGAAACAGTCCTTGTTAGTCCTCAGCCACAATTAAAAGAACCGAGATAGGTTCCCTGACCAATCAAAACAATTTCATTTAAATTTCAGTTCTATTGTAGATCGCAGAAACAGACCAACCAAACAGATAAGTCTTGGTGTACAAATTCTTCACCGAGTCTTTCTACCTTTACAAGGTTGTTCTGTTGATGTGAAACCTTGGACAAATCTCTGAACTTAAATAAATAATTAGTTTTGACAATTTTTGATACAAAAATTGGCAACTGTAGATTGTGAGTACAGATATACTTAAATAATCAAGCAGCTTTTGTGCTCAACCCAAACTTGCTTAAAAGCTCACAATATACCCCCTGTCTCTATTCTTAGATCATTAAACACATCCATCAAGTCCCAAGATGATGGGTAAACACATCACAGCAAAACAAACAACTTTTGTCACTAAAACAACAACAAACAACATTAGCCAAAATTATGAAAAAGCAGTGCATTCACATTAAAGAGCAAGAAGTGGATAAGACAGTAAACCAGAGAGTTATAGTTGAATAGTTAAAATATCTTGACAGCAGTACATTTACAGCTTTCAGGGTATCATGAATATCCCCGTGTTACGTTGAAATTGACTCAACTCCTAGAGACACTTTTAGGTAGTAAAATTTACATAATTGAGCTAAAATGTTGGTCAACCAACATGATTTGGAAAGACAGTAAACAAAATCAACAATCTCATAAGAAATGTGATCACTCTAGAAGTAAGAGAGTGAAAGGATCAGAGTGACTGTCATAATAAGAATCTTTTTCCCACCCAAAATTACTTGTTTCTGTCATAGTCCATTTTTGACACTTCTATCCACAATCATATACTTGAGCGTAGTTTATTGAAAAATATTCTCACAATAGAGGCAGTGAATAGTAGAATAGTTTTAGAAAACAATGAGCAAAGAAGAACTGTTTTGGAATCTTAAAATTCAGAGTGCACATAATAAGTTTGATTGAGGTGCTTCTCGAGTAAAAAATATTACAAGACATTCTTGAAATAATAAAGAAAATCAAAAATTTCTATTTGAGAAAGGAACAGGTTTGCATACCTTTTGAAAAAGTACTGCTCCTGCTTCATGATTAGATTAACAGCTTATGTATAATATAGGTAAAATCAAGACTAATGGGAGCCAGTTGAAAACTAGATGATCAGTTTTTTCTTTTTGTCAATGCCATGGTAAAGTTTATTATTGACCGCACTCCTCCAATCAATCAAAATTAGGAATGTTTTAAACAAATATTCCAAACTTTGCATGAAATGAAATGCACGAAAAATCAAACAGAGATTTGCAATGCAACTGCCACTGATTGTCGTAGATGGATCTCTTTGTTACTTTCCAATTAAAAGAAGCATGTAACAGTCAACATGTAGCAAAAAATTGTTTCTCTAGATAAACTTAGTAGCGAGCTTTTAATTGACCTAATTTTAATTTAAGAAATGACATGGCAGAATACTATTCTCTTAACAGTAAGAACACCAGTCCATGGTGAGTCCATTGAATCTTGTTGAAATAGTTAAGGAAATTCATGAAAAATGGCAGTGTTTGAGCCGAGTTTGACCTCATATCAGCAAATTCTCAAGCTATAAATCACAAATATTAATGATTAGGGCACTTAGAAGTCTGACTGAAGTTCCTGTAACAAAACTACTTAGTTTGGCCATACATTGAGATGGCCCGTTTGAGACATATCAGCCTTAGAGCACGAAATGGCCAAATTGTATCAAGTAGGTCCCCTTAGGACCTAAAACTAAAGAACTTTCCCCATATAACAATCAATCGGTTCTGGTTAAAATTCCTAAACACCACAAATGTATGCTAAATCTAAAACTAAAACACACATGTTTCAATACTAGTTAAACAGACTCCCAACTGCACCTGGTTGTACATCATTTGGTGTAGGATATTATTGCATCTCCACTTTCCTTATCAGAAGAAATGGAATGAGCAAAAACATGAAAATCAGAAAATGAAAACTACATCAAGGTGTCGGAAACGAATTCTGAAACCCAGAGGTAGTCTGTTTGGTCGATGTACAAGGTGGCGCAGCTGGGAGGCAAAATGTCAGACATTCAACGAGAAGCAGTCACTGCTCTCGTTGGCTAATTCTCATACTTTCTCCTTCTTGCTCTGCTGGAAATCCTCCTTGCTGTTGTAGAGCTTGAGCATGTGCAGTGCATCCTGGGCTTCACGGCGCTCGGCTAGGAAGCGCCCGCTTGCCTGTTGCAGCTGCTCCACAAAGGTCCTGTAGGCAGAGTAAGCTGAGCATCTTAATTATCACAAGGTTATTTGTCTGCAGGAAAACCAAGATACCAATCAGTAAAATAGTATGGTGTGTTTGACATTAACTCCTCACCTGTCAATATCTGATAAGCTCTCTGGGTCCATGTCAGTCAGCATTTCAAGCTCCTTACCACCCAACATTGTGATATAAGACATGTCAGAGTGTAGTCTTTCCACCAGCTGACGGGCTTGTCCACATCTGCCGTCTGTCTCATCCAGAATTATACACCCTCTGAAATAAATTAATAATTTATTTAAAAAAATTAACTTGGAAAATGTATGAGTCTTTATATATAATGTGTTTGTATTGTTCACCCACCGAGGTTTTCCATGCATGAGCCACCTTTGTGAATCAATCAGGAGCATCAAAACAGTGTTGCTCTCCAGAGTTTCAAAATATTCTTCATCATCAACTTCTGTACCATCAATGTCAAGCACAATTTTGACAACTGCATTCTGGTTCACTTCCAGCTTTTCACATGCTAAATAAGGTCCAAAAAGGTTATTTAAAAAATATATAAATCCTTAAAATGAACGGCTTTGCTTATTTAGTATAAGTGAGACATAAATAAATTGACATTTTCCTAAAGACAAAAAACATTTTCTGATAAATAAAATTAGTATTTGGTTACCTTTAGAAACTAGCTCTTCAAGACTGCCTGCCACAATCCCAAACTTCTTCTCCCTTGTGTAGTCCACAATTTTAAAGGGAATACGACTGGGAGTAGACCCAGGAGAATCTTGGTCAGACATTTTGAACCTGAAATCAAGCATAGTTTTCTGAATTTTGAGCGTTGTAATAATTTAAAAAATAAACATGAAGATGTGACAAGTTAGACTTGTGTTTTAAAATATATTCTAAGGATGTCTAAAGAAAGCGGATCAGAAAACCATTCATAAACTTCTGAAAAGGTAATTTAAAAATAGTTGTATGTATAGAACAGTCCAATAAAATAATGCCTTAAAAAATTTCACCAACCACAGTGTATAGCAGCCCTAACCAGTGGCAGCGGGACAGGTCACTGGAGTGGGCCAATGCTATTGAGGTCGCAGCCCAGTTCAGCCAGCTCTGCCCCGCCACACCCTCAGCTCCTGGTCCAACCCCCCTGGACCCTAGCCTCTCCCACCCCTAGCTAGAAAATCAATAGCACGGGAGACTCAGCCAAGTGCAGCAGCAGCCACAGCAAGACGACCTAGTTGGAGAGGGTGGGGGTGGGCAATGGGGTCAGGTATCTAGAGCAATGATACAAAGAGGCCACCAGGATAAAACAATGCACAACTAAGCGGAAGAAGCCATATTTTCCCCTTTCCCTCTTTCGTATCAAAAAAATAAAATACGCATTGAAACACATACATAAATGTTTGCATACCTTCAGAAAAAAATGAAAAAGGAGTTCATTAAAATAGGACTATATTTGCACACGTATCGAGAAAACTATTACGTTTTCCATTCATACATGCTCAAATGGAACATAAACAGACGGCCATAGAGACCCAGGAGAGGTTATGTATAAGGAGAAACTGGAAAATACACGAGTACAAGTGGGTAAAATATACTGCGTTGGTAACATATGGAGTTATACGACAGAAAAGAAAATATTTGGGACGGGAAACATTCATTGCATTTGAGAAGACCAGAGAAGACAAAGGTGTCTTTTGTTGTTGAGGCAGGGACTCGTCACGTCACGTGTACTTGCCGGGTTCCTGGTCGGCTGATTTTATTAAAAATCGTAACGACAAGTGAACACGACAAGATCAGGCACACATGTATCGCTCTTATTATTATGGCATTGTTATGATTCTTCGACGTTCCTACCGTGTTATGGTTGCTGTCGGGTCCTCGGCCTTTCCCTGTAGCAGACGACGTTTTCCCGCAGACAGTGGCGCGCTCTCTCGACCGGCGCTCGCGCTGCACTGCGGGTTGCCGATCCCAGGCCCGGCCGACCCCAGTAGTCTGCAGGGGGCAAAGCAGGGAGAGGGAGGAGGGAGGAGGTAGGGAGAGGAGAGGAGGAGAGCCGGCGACCGGACGGACAGAGCTGGCAGCCACCCCCGTTAGAAAGGGGGCCAACGGGGGAAAGGGTGGTGTCGTCGGTGGGGGAGAGGACGCGTAGGGGGTAGGTCAGGTCACGGACCGCGCTGCTCCAGACATTCAGGGCGTGGCCGTGCACTGCCAGAAATAGGCTCCAGACTCCATGGCTGGTTAGATCTCTTTCTGAGAAATGCTCGTAGATGTACCGCGAGTCAACGGCTACGACACAACAGTGTTAAGGATTTGCATACCCTTAAGGGGCCATGGTGCCTTAACAGGTGGAGCCAAGAGGCAAAGCCGCAAACACACTGAATACGGAGAAATTGTCAAAGATAAATGTGCGGTCAAATCAAATTGTACTGCTACGAATCCATTTTCAAATTGTAAAGTTCTAAAAATTTTGTACATCATAAATCGACTCTGGGTTTTGTTCCGAAAACTTCATTTGTAAATCAAACTTATTTGTAAATTTGTAATCTTACGAAGATGTTTTTCCTACACTTTGGTATGCAATGCATGTAAAAACCTGGTCGGCGGAGTCAGAGGGATTTAAAAAGTTAACTGCAGATTTCTTTTAAACTCGTCCGGCTTATATTGGGTTCTACGCATTTCTGCGTTTTCGGCGTATTTTGTCATTGTTAAGGCAGAGGCAGGGGAGGTGTCTGTGTCTCTCCTAAACTTTTCATCGTGTACCATAGTTAAGGGCGGTGTAGGCTCCAGTAGGCTCGGGTTAGGGTCACGGGGAGGTCATGGGGCATCGTACGGAGCCGCCCCCTCCCCCTGTCGTTTTGCGCTGCTCTCCCAGAATGTAAAGGTGGTCTGAAGGGCAAAGCGACGGGCTCCGATCCACAGTCGGACTTCTCCACAAAAAAATTATTTAAACGTAAATCGTTTGTATTATTCGTCAAATATAAAAAAATATTTGGACACAGCGATCAATAACGCTCAGGTCTCAGGAAATAACGATACATGGCACACATCGGGATACATCAGAATAAAAACGAACAATTTGTAGGGGAAAAACTTGGGGGCAAGGGCAGGAGAAAGAGGGGGTGGGGGAGGCGAGAACGAGAAGATTATTTAAACTCAGTCGCTATGACCTCTCCCCACGCCCCATATACTCAGAAGAAAATTTCACATTAAATTAATTAGAATTCGCTCCGGTGTCTTTGTCTACGTAGCCCCCCCCCCCCCCC